TTCGGAACTCACCGCCGGCACGCGCCGCCGAAACTGATTTTCCCTGAGTTTTGGGAAGACGTGCAGGTCTCCATCCGTGTTCAAGAGCATTGGAGGTGCTTTCCCGGCGCCGTCTAGCCTGCCGAGCGCGGCAGGAGAGGTGTTATTCGGCGGCGATCCACTTGAAACACTGGCACTTGGCCTCCGGGGGCCCCCCTCGTCGCCGCGGCTGGGCGCCGCTCAAGAAGGTAATGCGTTTGGATCACGGGAGAGGTCGGGGGGCCGATTTGGAACCCCCAGTGTCTCAAGCCGCCCTGCTCCGAATTTCGGACACGCGCTGGCGCCCGCACCGTTCGCCTTGCGCGCTGTTCGAAAGCATTGATTGGGGGGGGCGCGGAGCAAGAGGAGGAGCCCGCCGCCCTGTGCCCAGGGCGGCGGCGAGGCGCCGCGGAGCATCTGGTCAGCCGATTGCATCATCGTCATCGCCGTCACAGCGCGGGCATCGCCATCACCATCACCATCGATGCCGCCATCGCCGTCGCCATCGCCATCGCGATCGTCACATTCGCCATCATAACCACCGGCGCCATCACGGAAATTACTACGTCGGCGGAGGGCCGGCGGAACCCACGCTCCCGTAAGAATGCGCGGGGGATTGTCAGCTGGATGCTTCTCTGTTTCAGCAGCCTGGCGATAGCGTGCCAAGCAGCGGTCTCAGGGCCTTTCCATCTTCTTTTGAGCCCGAAGAATCGACGCGCCGCGATAGCCGCATTCAAACGCAACGCCGGGGGGCCGACGTTCAAGCGCAACGGCGGGGGACGGGCGTAGCCACCGCGCGACAGGGATATATGTGTATATACACGTGCACTCATACACATTCGTACACATACATGTATATGTATATACATACATACATATATACATACATATAGACATACCTGTATTTACGTATGTATACATATACACATATGCTTGTAGACTGCACGTCTACCCACATATAATGATTTACACATGTATCTACATGTGCACATGTAAATATGTGTGTACACGTGCGCAAACACCTGTATATATACATACATACATGTCTATTTGTATTCTCTGATGTGCAATATCATGCCTCATTATACAAGACATTATTCGGCTATGTTGGAGCGGTTCTGGGGCCCCTCTTCGGGCCATCCCGACCGCTGGAGAAACGAAGAGGCGAGAAGACCAACGAGTATGATTATGGTGATGATGGTAATGTTGGTTCTGGTGGTGTGGAGATTTTGATAGTGATGGTCTTGATGATGATGCTGTTCATTTTTCCAGCACGGGACCGATGGCAACTCATTAACAACTGATGAAGTCCAATAGTCAGCATCTGCAAGAGTGCTAGACGGCACGGTCTAGCGGCAATACAATGTCTAGGGCGTCTGTGGGAAAATTCCCACCGAGACAAACCCAGCTTCGTGGGGCGCCAAGGAGACGCAGCAAGCAGCAGCAGCGAGGGAGGACGAGGAGGGGGAGACCGATCGATCGATCAAGGCCGTAGTCAGCACTAAGCTAGCCACCCGAGCTCAAGCGGGGCGGCGGTGAAAAAGGAAGACTCTGCAGCCGCGGGGCACGGCGCCTGGAATGTGTCCAGACCTCGCGCACGGGCGCATCAAAGAGGCCGAGGCGAGCCGACAAAGGATGGCCCAGCCTAGTCGCATCGGCTGAGGTGCACTAGAGGGTGCACGCCCGCTTTCCCAAGTCAGCGGACGGGGTCGGAGCTCCAGGCCAACAGACCCACGAAGAGAAGCAAAAGAGGGAAGACAGCAGCTGCGATCCTGCGCGCACGATCGGCTGGAGGGGCGGCGCGGGGCCGCAGAGAGACTCTCTCAATCAGAATCAAAAGCAGAGGGAGGCAGGGCGGACCTCGAAGCCAGCCCGGACGCCGCCACAGCGGCAGCAACAAAGGGGGGAGAGGAAGGGGGGGGTACACGCGAGAGGAGACAAAGCGCACAACACACATAGACAGTGCGCAATACTACCAAATGCTGAAACCAACAACGCAGGGCGATTCCCTCCGCATGATCCCTAACTGTTGTCAACTGCCGTTCGCAGGACACCAGGAAAAGCAAGACTAATGCAACGTGCATGATAAAGGCAATCACTCTCACAAAGAGCCAGCGGCAGCGGCGAGAAAGCGGCCGAGGCAGAAAGAGAGGCAGCATGCCAGACACATACAACATGCAGAAAAGCCAGATCCCCGATCGCTGCTCTGTGCGTTTGGCACCATGAGAACTGAACAGAGCACTGATTGAAAACGATATTGTGACCCGATCAGGTCACAGAAGGGGAAGCAGAGCAGGGCAGCTTCACCCAGGGCCAAGCCCACTCGGGTTACGAACATGTTGAATGGCCGCACGGATCGGGGGGTGACGCAGCATCAACATTCGATGGCGGCCTTCGAAAACCTCATCGGGCGACACTGAGGCCGAAACTAGACGCAAACGGAATTGGGAATGGGTATGCACAAAGCATTCCGCTAGCGAACACAGGGCAACATCACCCTTGGTGTCGGGAGCTCGACCGTCCACGCAGCAAAGCACAGGAAGCGGGGCAGCAAAGCCAAGGGGGAAGAGAGGGCGAGCCCAGGACAAGAGGAAGCCAGAGACTTTAGGGCAGTGCTGGTAGTGCAAGATGTCATCTCGGCCGTCGAGGCAACCGAAAAGACATCCCTTGGGGTGAGCGTGAAACCTACCCGACGTCCAAACCCCGCGGCAGAGGATCTTTTAAACAGCGACCACTAAAAACATTGAAACCGCATTACAAACACGTTTCATGCGAATTTGGAAGGCAGGAAACCAGAGAGCAGGCGGGAGGGGGAGAGGGAGCCACTTCAGAACCCGACGAGGGACTTCACCAAGGGCAACACCAGGACGCTCATCAGCACGAAGGGCCTTGCACATCTGGGCTTGCGTAACCGCCTCGGGGGCTTCAGGGCAGAGCACGCGGGCACGGGGGGCCACGCGGGCGTACACCTCGTTCATATAACTCAGACACGAATTGGTAAACCACCCACGAAGTAACCGATGTGGAATCAGATCCCAAGAGACATCATGCGCCTGGCGCAATTTATTCTGGAATTCGGTCCAAGCCAACGAGCTCTGAACAGTTCGATACACCGACGCGACAGCGATATGCCTGATGGAGGCACACAGAGCATTACATCCTGTGTCCGTCAAGTTAAGCATCATGGGACTGCCGAAGCTATAACGCGGGCCCGCATGCAGAATTTGAAGGGCACGGTCTTCAAGCATGTAGAATCTTGCAACGGACGATGAAATTGCAAGACGTAACTCAGCACAATAACAGCACGAATGTTGTAGGCAAATATCGACTCAGCCAGGCCGGCCCCCACGAGACGAATCTTGCAAACGCGGAAGAAGTACTTGTCACACTGAGTCGGGAAGGAGTGCCAGTGAGCCTTGGGGCCTACCGAGACACCAAGATAGCGACACCATCGAACTACAGAGAAGAGCTCGCAGCCACCCCCACTAGGGACCAGAAGCGCGCGAATACGAGCCTCATCCCCATAGGCACCCATAAGGAGAATGCATTTCCCGAAGTGCAGCTCCAGCCCGATAGCGTCAGCGAGCGCACAGAGCTTTCGGAAGACTGGGATCAAATCGGAGAAGGGGTTGGTCAACAGGAAGCGGAGGTCGTCGGCGTAGCCTGAAAGACCGAACCTAGGTGGTCCTGTTGCAGCAAACCACCGAAAGACAGGATCCAGGGCCAGGGCAAACAGAAGCATGGACGCGGGGCATCCTTGACGAACACCGCGGCCCACGGGGAAGCTGGCCAGAGAGATTCCACATAAATGGACCCGAGCGAGATTGCCTCGATAGAGGTTATCAAAATATTTAACCGTCCATTCAGGGATACCCATACTCTGCAAAACAAACAGAACCCATTCGATGATGAGGCTGGGAAGCACCGCTTTGAAGTCCGTGAAGAGCTGGGCAGCATCGTCGCGGCCTTCTCTGTGAGCCAGGAGACCATCGCCCTCACAGGCAATAGTATTGTCCAGTATCGAACGGCCAGGGGCCCCACCAGTCTGAGACTCCAAGATAGCGTGAGTACTGACATGATGGGTAAGCGGACTAGCGATAGCAGCGGTAATCAACTTGCAACCTGTGCATCCCATACACAGCGGACGGGTCGAAAGCGGTTTCCGAGCGGGAGCTGCAGTGGCATCCGTAGGATGATCCCCTTTCGCCAAGAAAACCATCAACATCTCATGAAAGTCACCGGAGGGCGGGTCGTCAGGATGGTAAACACAAGGCAGATAGAAGCCGTGCAAAATCGCCTGAGCCCCAGGGTGTTTCCAGCAGCCGTACGGTAGGCATGGTGTTCATGGTGATGGTGATAATGGTGATGATTGGCGCAATAAGTGCCACGCACATCCAGAGCGGACCCTTCGGCTCCTGGAGAGGCTGCCAACCGAGATACTTTCGCCACCTTCGTGGGCTTTCGGGGGGGGGGGGGGGGCAGTAATGTTTGGGTTCTTTTGTGTAGAATCCATTAGGGGAGTGGTCCATCGTGCCCCGATCACGTTGCTCCACATTGAGGAGTTTTCACTCGTGCCGGAGCAGTCCCACCATATTCATTTTGCTGGATCTATCTTGTCACGAAAGTGTAGTTAGGAAGAATTTGTTTTTCTTGTAAACGCGTCAGAAGAAGCTTCAAGTGAGTATGGATTGTCAATTTACGACTGCGCTCAGAGACCCCATATAAGACATATATACATACATACATACTTTGCCCCGGAAACCGGGGTTACCCGTTCGAGCCGGCGCAGAAGACGCTATTTGAGGACGCTATTTCTTGTGAAGACGCGCCCCTGTGAAGACGCTATTCCGGGTGAAGAAACTATTCCTGGTGAGGGCGCTGTGCCTTGTGAAGACGCTATTCCGAAAGAAGACGCCACTCCCCGCGAAGACGCTATTCCCGGTGAGGACGCTCTTCCTGGTGCGACGCTATTCCCTGTGAAGACGCTATTCCCTGTGAAGACGCTATTTCTTGTGAAGACTGCATTCCTTGTGAATGCGCTACTCCGGGTGAAGACGCTATTCCCAGTGAAGACGCTATTCCCGGGGAATGCGCTATTTCGGGTGGAGACGTTGTTCCCGGTGCAGACGCTATTCCCCGTGAACACACTATTCCTTGTGAAGACGCTATTCCGGGTGAAGACGCTATTCCCGGTCAAGACGCTGTTCTTTGTGAAAACGCAATTCCCGGTGAAGACGCTATTTCCGGTGAAGACGCTATTCCCGGTGAAGACGCTATTCCCTGCGATGACGCTATTCCTTGTGACGGCGCTATTCCGGGTGAAAACGCTATTCCCTGTGGAGACGCTGTTCCTGGTGAAGACGCTATTCCGTGTGAAGACGCTATTCTCTGTGAAGACGCTATTCCTGGTGACAACGCTATTCCCTTCTGAAGACGCTATTCCCTGGAAAGACGCTGTTCCGTGTGAAAACGCTATTCCCTGTGAAGACGCAATTCCCGGTGATGACGCTATTTTTTTGTGAAATGGCTATTCCGGGTGAAGACGCCATTCCCTGTGCAGGCGCTATTCCGGGCGAAGACGCTATTCCCTGTGAAGACGCTGTTCCGTTTGAAGACGCCATTCCCGGTGGAGACGCAATTCCGGGTGAAGGCGCTTTTCCCTGTGAAGACGCTGTACCCCGTGAAGACGCTACTCCCTGTGAAGATGCTTCTTCTCTTCACCAAGCCCAGTACTCAACGCGCTCCCTTTCCATTTCTAATTTGAAAATGCAATTTTACTCTACGCTTTCCGTGTCCAACACAACGCGTGCCCCATCTGCTATGCGACACCATTTGCTACGCAAGACCCCTCCCCAAGTTGTTTAATACAGAATCCCTGGTGCTAGACGTGCCCCACCTGATGCGCGACGCCCTCTGCTGGGCAAGACCCCTCCCAGAGGACCACTCCCCAAGTTGATTAACAAAGAATCCTTGGTGCTAGACGTGTTTAATGCCAGGCGTGCCCCATCTGCTGCGCGGCAGCCTGTGCTAGGCAAGACCTCTCCCCAAGTTGATTTAAGAAGTAATCCTTCGTGCGAGGCGTGTCCCACCTGCTTTGCAGCGCCTTCGGCTAGGCAAAACCCCTCCCCAAGTTGATTCAAAGAGAACCTTTGGTGCTAGACGTGCCCCATCTGTTGTGCGGCGCCTTGCGCTAGGCAAGACCCCATCGCCAAGTTGATTGAAAACCAATCCTTGGTGCAAGACGTGCCCCATCTGCTGTGTGGCACCCTTCGTTAGGCAAGACCCTTCCCCAAGTTGATCAACGCAGAATCCTTGGCGCTAGACGTGGCCCATCTGCTGTGCGGCACCGTCTGCTCGGCGAGACGCTTCCCCAAGTTGCCCCTTTGCTGTGCGGCACCCTTTCCAAGGTGAGCCCCTTTGCTGTGCTGCACCTTGTGCTAGGCAATACCCCCCAAGTTGACTAAAACAGAATCCCTGGTGCTACACGTGCCCTTTCGCTGTGCGGCGCCCTATGCTAGGCAAGACCTCTCGCCAAGTTATTACAGCGGAATCCTTGATGCCAGGCGTGCCCCCTCGCTGTGCGGCACCCTCTGATAGGCAAGATCCTTCCCCAAATTGATTAAAACGGAATCCTTGGTGCTAGACGCGCTCCAACTCTTGCGCGGCACCTTCTGCTACGCAAGACCCCTCCCCAAGTTGATTGAAAAAGAAACAATATTTGGTGCAAGATGTGCCCCATTGCTGCGCGGCACCCTCTCCACCGTGAGCCCCGTTGTTGTGCTGCACCTTGTGCTAGGCAAGACCCCTTCCCCAAGTTGATTCAAGCAGAATCCCTGGTGCTAGACGTGCCCTTTTGCTGCGCGGCACCCTATGCTAGGCGAGACCACTCGCCAAGCTGATCAAGGCAGCATATTTAATGCTAGACGTGCCCCATCTGTTGTGCTGCACCTTCTGCCAGGCAAGACCCTTCCCCAATTTGATTAAAACATAATCCTTGGTGCTAGACATGCCCGTTTGCTGCGCGGCACCCTCTGATAGGCAAAACCCCCCCTAAGTTGATTAAATTATAATCATTGGTGCTAGGCGTGCCCGACCTGCGGTCCGGCACCTCCTGCTAGGCAAGACCCCTCCCCAAGTCGATAAAACAAATGAATCCTTGGTGCTAGACGTGCCCCACCTGCTGTGCGGCACCTTGTGCTAGGCAAGACCCTTCCCCAAGTTGATTAAAACATAATCCTCCGTGCTAGACGTGCCCCATCTGCTGTGCGGCGCCCTTTGTTAGGCACTGCCAACCGATCAGGCGTTTAAGAAACGCCGCGGTCGCATGCAGCCAGCCTGGCCGTGCACCCCGGAGGATGAGGCCGAGGCGAAATAGAAGCGCCAAGCTGAATGGAGGCGTCGCGAGCTTCGCCGGGGGTCAGGGGGGAAGAGGCTTCAGGCCGAATCGAAGCTTCACGAGCTTCAATGGGCGTCAGGGGGATAGAGGCTTCAGGCCGCATAACGGCTTCACGAGGATCAGGGGAAAAGATGCTTCAGGCCGAACAGAGGCTTCACGAGCTTCAGTGGGCGTCAGGGGATCAGAGGCTTCAGGCCGGATAGAGGCATCACGAGCTTCACCGGGCGTCAGGGGATCAGAAGCTTCAGGCCGAATAAAGGCTTCACGAGCTTCACTGGGCGTCAGGGGAATAGAGGCTTCAGGCCGAAAGAAGGCTTCACGCGCTTCATCGGGCGTCAGGGGGATACAGGCTTCAGGCCGAATAAAGGCTTCACGAGCTTCAATGGGCGTCACGGGGATAGAGGCTAGAGGCCGCACAGAGGCTTCACGAGCTTCAACAGGCGTCAGGGAATAGAGGCTTCAGGCCGAATCGAAGCTTCACGAGCTTCAATGGGCGTCAGGGGGATAGAGGCTTCAGGCCAAATAGAGGCTTCACGAGCTTCAATGGGCGTCAGGGGAATAGAGGCTTCAGGCCGAATAGAGGCTTCACATGCTTAAATGGGCGTCAGAGGAATATAGGCTTCAGGCCGAATAAAGGCTTCACGAGCTTCAATGGGCGTCAGGGGAATAGAGGCTTCAGGCCGAATAGAAGCTAATATAAAAAGCTTCAGGCCGAATAGAGGCTTCACGAGGTTCAATGGGCGTCAAGGGAATCGAGGATTCAGGCCGAATAGAATCGTTTAGGGTCGCCACCCCACCAGTGCGTCGCAATTTGTAGGCTCAATAGAGGCTTCACGGGCGCCGGATGCAGGCTTCAGGCGGAATAGAGGCGCCACCGCAACTCTCTGGGCGAATAGACTCTTCAAATAGCGTCTTCGGCGCCGGCTCGAACGAGGAACCCCCCAAGCCAGGCCCCTGTATGTATGCATCTATATATATGTATGCGTGTGTGGGCCATTTTCGCAACTTTTGTTACCGATCACACCTTGCAGGTCGGATCTCTACCAATATTCCGATATGACATGTTCCCCGAGAGTTGCAAAACGCCGACGCGTAATTGATTTGGTCCGCGTCGACCAGACGCCTTCATTTGCTTGTCGTGCCCGGACATTGGCGTGCGTTGGCTTGATTTCTCAGTGTTGCTTCCCGAATTTGAGCTAACAACTATTGTCCATATCATTGGCCAAGAGAAGGTGGATGATGTAGTAAAGCGTTTGGCGATTGTCCAGAAATATAAGCGGTTGCTCACATCGGGGGTCTTGCCGCGTACATGGGATACATTTTGAGCGTGGCGCACACATCGTTTGGATTAACTTCCACGGCAGGACCTTACGCATATGAGTTCGGTCGCTCAACGATGTCTTCGTCAATGTGGTCAGTGTGAAACGGAAAAACCAGTGCCGACCGTGACTTTGATACATGGCCCAAGTGCGCTCCAAGAGAGCCCAACCCGCGCAAGAGCGTTTCAAAATTGGTCCACAATGGCTTCAAGACAGTCCAAGAAGGCTTCAAGACTGCCAGAATGCCTTCAAAAAGGACTCCCGCGAGGAACTCTGGAGGCGAAGCAAGTAAGTTGTTGTTCGATGGTTTTTGCATGTTTGTCGTGTTCTCGCTGTTATGGTGAAGATGCTGATGTTGCTGGTGATGGTCTGGTCTTGGGTCTTGGGACCTTCTTGGGGGCCCTGTTGGGGCCATCTCGGGAGCCATTGATCAAAGGGAGCTCTCCACTTTTTCTTTGATATTGATTTCGCACCGTTCGTTGATTTCCGCGTGCGCTATGGCCCGACCCGGTCCACAGGATCTTTACCGATAATCCCATATGGCATGTTACCCAAGAGTTGCAACACGCCGACGCATTGTTGATCTTGTCCGAAACGACCAGAGGCCTTCATGTGGTTGTCGTACAAGGACATGGGCGCGCGTTGGCTTCATTTCGCAGTTTTGTTTCCCAAATCTGAGCTAGCGAATATTATTGCCATACGATTGCAATGCTAGTGCCATGCGATTGCAATGCAGTTGCCATGTTGTTGCCATGCACCTGCCATGATGGTTACATGTAACTGCCATGCAGTTGCCACGCTGTTGCCATGCAGTTGCCATACCATTGCCATGCGTACTATTGCCATCCCGATGCAGTGCCATACTATTGCCACGCAGTTGCCATGCAATTGTTGTTTTCACACTGTGCCAGACCGTATATATATATATATTCAAATATAGACGACTTCAAACCGTTTCAGCGAGTGTCCCGATTTGTTTTGTCTACCCTGGCCTGGCTGCCATTTCACGCCGTTCATCCGACCTTGGATCATATGGTTTTTGTAATATTTCATCGCATATATATACACACATATATACATATGTATACAATGTTCTTGTATATATATAAACGTTATTCACGCTGGTGTATTTGTTGATTACTCGCTGGTTTTCAATTCAAAACTATAGCATATTGCCAGAACTTGTATTTGAACCTTGTATGAATGTCATCAAAATCCATTGTGGCCATTCGATTGTTTCATTAATTGCCTTGGCCTCGCTACCGTGTCGTGCCGTCCATCTGAGATCGGATCATATTAGTATGTTGTTGTGTTTCTGCGGTATTTTTTGTTGTTGTGTTATTTCACATTTTTTGTTTTCCCTATTATTATTATTATTATTCTTCTTATTCTTCTTCTTCTCTCTCTCCACTTGTTTGGCAATAATTGAGTTTCTTAGGTTTTGCGCTACAGATTGTGTTGGAACGTATACATTTAGTTGTTGCGTGAACACAGCTGCGGTGGCAGACCGATCTCAGGCGTCTCGATATTCCAGATTAATGCTCCTGACTTTTCCCCCCCGAAAGGTGTGCTTCCCAGCTCCGTAGCTTGCCTGCGCCATGAGTTGGGTAGAGAAAACCAGCGCCACCTCTTTAAACAAAAACTTGAAGAGTGCAATTTTTTTTCTGCCGCAGCTCTGGTATCATACCGATCTGAAACTTCTACAGACCTTAGACTAGCGCTTTTGATCACCTCCTGACGATTGGTGCGCCTGTGAGCTCCGTAGCTCGCCTACAATGCGAATTAAGTAGAGAAGACAAACATCGCCCCCCAAAACAATTGCAGAGTGCGGGTAGTTTGTCGGTCGCAGCCCTGGTAGCCGACCGATCTCAGAGGCCTCGATGCTGTAGACGAGCGCTCCTGCTCATTTCTTGTCGGGGGGTGTGCATCTCAGCACCGCCGCTCAGCTATAGCTCAAGTTAAGTAGAGAA